ATCTGGGGCCCTGGGGGGAGGGCTGCAGTTCCAGGAGGGGCTATGGGGGGGGCTCAGGAGGGAGAGGGGGGCTGCTTGGTGCTCCAGAAGAGTTTTTGCCTGGCTGGAGCAGAAATCCCTCCGATGGGCCAGACTTCAGCACGCTTAAAACAACAACAACAACAACAACACACTGGTGGTATGCTTAAGGCCAGGCTCGAGAGGTTTTAAATACATGTACAGACTTCACCAAAAAGAACTGAAAATAGCAGTTGTGTTGGAGTTTCTAGATGAAAAGTTGTGTTTCAGCAGAGTAAAAATTAGCTGAGTGATGCCAGAGTTCAATAATCAGACTCAGAGTCCATGTGTGTTTAAAAATATTAAAGTTTTACTACAATTCTACCATAGGTAAGGGTAACTGGGAGAAAAATAACAACACAGCTAGACAGCTACATCCTCTCTCTACAAAGTACAAGACTAGAAGAGCCGCAATGGCCTCTCTTGCTTCTTCTCCAAACAGAACAAAGAGGGGAAGAGGGGCCATAAAATGCAAAGACACTAACACTTTGCTCCCAATCAAACTCTCAGAACAGGGATGCTTTTCGCGGGCTTGCAGCTCTAAGCTAACATTGGCTTACACAAAGGCAGGTGATTTCCTGTGACAACAAAACAGACATTTAACCCCATACACACACAGAGTGTTTTTCAACATGCAATACCCAACAAGTTGTCTAAATCCAATAGCTCCTGGCCTTGGAAGAGGAATGATTTGGGTTTAGGAGTGGTGGGAGATGTCGCAGAAGACACCCCCCCCTCCCCAACAGAGTGGCTGCTTGGAGCTGTGAGGTCAGAACCAGTCAGTGCAAACCCCCCCCCCCCCCCAGATTTATGGGTCAGGCATGAAATTTAGCTTTCATTTAGAAAAGGACTGAGTTTCTTGTGGAGTGTGAGGATAATCACCAGTACCAGAGTAGGTCACTGAGCAGGACTGGCCAGGGGTGTGCGGTGGCAGCATGGCGGTATTTTGAGCAGGCAAAGACTTGCAGAACTGTCGCTCAAGATTCTCTAATTGGATGCCGGAGTAAAACGTCCCAGTACAACAGGGCTGGCCCGCGGTGGGCAAAAAAAGAATAAAATTATACGAAGAGATCCTAATTTGTGGCTGCCCTGGCCACGTGCCATCGTAGAAGCCACCTCGGAAACCACCACCACCACCCGGTGTTCTCCCCATGCGAGGAGGGTGAATCCAGATGAGAGCGTTGGTTCTCCCCCGTCTCTTACTCTCTGCACTTCAACAGGCACTCATTGGTTGAAAGCATCTCAGCACAAAAAAGGTGCTTAGGGCGAGAGGGAGACTGTGGACGTGCGGGTTGTTTGCACCCTCTGGAAGGGCGGGCAGGCAGGCAGGCGGGGACAGCTCTCTCCAAGTTCTCTTCTCCCCCTAGAAGGAAATGAAGTCCTGCGGCAACTGCACGTTGGAGGAAGCTGCCGAGAGGAGCGCTGCGAAAAGCCAACTGAGGACGACATATTCCATCCAGGTGAGTGACGTGGGGCAGGGGGAGCCGTCAGCCCCGAGAGTGGCTCTTTTCCAACACTATCTTCAAGGGGGGGGGGGCAGACAGGGGCCAGTTGGCAAGGCCAGAGACTAGCCGGTGGGCGTGGAGGGAGCTTAGCTCTTCCTTCATTCCCCGGTCAGCTCTCTGCAGGTGGCACAGGTGTGGCTGAACAGAGATGGGAGAGTCGTGGTCCCCCTCTCCTCTCCTCTCCTCGGGGGGTTGTTGCCCAGCCGGCAGCTCGAGAGAGAAAATGCCACGGGCACTCTTGCGGTACCTTACCAAAAGCTATGCCATCCCCACCCACGTTTCTGCTCGACTCCTGTTAGCAGCAGCCCCCCTCTTTCGGGGGGTGGGGCTTGCTCAGGGAGGGAGGGAGGGCCTGTTGCATGGCGTCCTGCCTCCAGCATCCTCTCCTCCTCCTCCAGGCCTGCCTTCGCTCCTGCTTCCAGCAGCAGATGGTGGACACGTGCCATTGTGGCCACTCCACCTTCCCTCTGCCCGAAGGAGACAAGTATTGCAACAACAAGGACTATCCAGACTGGGGTAAGGGCGGCACGGGAGTGGCAGTGCTGTTGCGTGCCAAGGCTGCCATGTGCATGAGACTGCCATGTGGTATCGGGAACGGCCTTTGGGGAGTGGAGGGCTCGGCCTGGTAGGTTTCTGGGGTGAAAAGGGGTGCCTTGCTTGTGGGAAGTCTTCGCTTGGGATCTAGGGAGGGGAAGTGGGCAAGCGAAAGGCGCTTGAAACAGTTTGTTCCTCGTCATCCGACTCGGAGCTTGACGTTCCTCAGAGCAGCAGCGAGAAGCCCGCGAGGAGCAGCCGTCTCTGACCAACTCCTCTGTTTCCCCCTACAGCCCATTGCTATTCCACCCTGCGTGGGAGCCTGACCCACCGGCAGTTCTGCATTGAGTCCTGTAAGGAGACTTGCAAGTAAGTACCGTGGGGGCTGTAAGCGGGGTTGGGAGGGGGCTGCGCTTCCCCTTGTGTTGCTCCAAGGGTACGGATGTATGCCGGACCCTATATGGCCAGGGTCCGGCATACCTGAGGGACCGCCTTCCCCCATATGTTCCCCCAAGGGCACTACGGTCGGGGACTCAACATCTCCTGGTAACCCCAGGCCCCAAAGATACCAAACGCTGCAACCAGGGCCAGGGCCTTTTCGGTGGCGGCTCCTACCTGGTGGAATGAGCTCTCAGAGGAGATCCGGGCCCTGCGGGACCTTGCGCAGTTCTGCAGGGTCTGTAAGACGGAGCTCTTCCGCCAGGCTTTTGAGTAGGAGCCGCCGCCACCACTGTACCACCACCGCACCCCCACCACCCATTGGGGTGGGCACCATCGGGGAGCGAGACGGCCCTGGGAGGAAGAAGGGATGGCAGTGCTGCCTGGGACTTACCTAGTTGTTCTGGGACCATCTTTACCAGAACCCCGTCTTGTTATTAAGGACTTCTGTGACAACTGGAGCACCTGCACTTTATTGCATAAATGATTGTTTTATTCTGTTTTAGTTGTCTTACTCTTGGCACACATGCCTCATTTGTCAGCCGCCCTGAGCCCGTTCTGGGGAGGGCAGGTTATACATCCAATAAAAAATAAAAAATAAAATAAAATGTTAACCGGGGGTGGGGGTGGGGGTGGAGTTCTTCTGTCTGACTCTCTCCCCTCCTTCCACTTTATTTCACTGCAGCAACACTCAGTATAAAATGACCATTTCCATGGCGGACTGGCCGTCGGAGGCGTCTGAGGTGGGTGAGACCTTCCCTCCCCCCGGGTCTAGAGCTGGGCTCCCTCCTGCCAAGGCGGCAGAACTGGGGTCAATTCTTGTGCGTTTAATCCACCGGCTCTTGGGAGGCTCTGGGTGGGCGGGATTACATTTCAGGACCAGCCGGGCAGCAAGATTGAAATGGATAAGGCGGACAGAAAATGCCACATGGGGAAAACACTCTGTTTTGTTGGTTTTTTAAAGAACCCGGGTGGTTGTCTACAGAGTGCCTCGTGCTGCGCAGTTACAGGCCTTCCTGCCAGCAGTTCTTGGCCCAGCAAGCCCAGGCCGTGGCTCAGCACCTGCCTGGCATGCAGAAGGGCCCAGGTTCAATCCTCGGCTCCTCCCGGTCAAAGGGGCCCTTGTGTTGACCCCAGGGCAGGTGGGAAGGGCCTCTGCCTGAGACCCTGGAGAGCCACTGCCAGTCTGAGGAGACCGTACAGGCTTTGGTGGACCACCAATCTGATTCAGTAGCAGGCAGCTTTGTGTATGTTAAGAACCTAAGAGAAGCCAGTGTTGGATCAGGCCAGTGGCCCGTCCAGTCCAACACTCTGTGCCACGCAGTGGCCAAAAACACCAGGTGCCATCAGGAGGTCCAGCAGTGGGGCCAGGACACCAGAAGCCCTTCCACTGTTGACCCCCCCCCCAAGCACCTGCCCCAGCCTGAGAGTTCCATCAATAAGAACCTAAGAGAAGCCCATGTTGGATCAGGCCAATGGCTCATCCAGTCCAACACTGTGTCTCACACAGTGGCCAAAAACACCAGGTGCCCTCAGGAGGTCCAGCAGTGGGGCCAGGACACCAGAAGCCGTCCCACGGTCCGCCCCCCCCAAAAAAAAGCACCAAGAATGAACAGCATCCCTTGCCCCAGACTGAGAGTCCCTGTCTATACCTTGTGGCTCATAGCCACCGATGGACCTCTGCTCCGTATGTTCATCCAATTCCCTCTTATAAGAACATAAGAGAAGCCAATGTTGGATCAGGCCAGTGGCCCGTCCAGTCCAACACTGTGTGTCACACAGTGGCCAAAGACACCCAGTGCCCTCAGGAGGTCCAGCAGTGGGGCCAGGACACTAGGAGCCCCTCCCACCGTTGCCCCCCCCCAAGCACCAAGAATACAGAGCATCCCTTGCCCCAGACTGAGAGTCCCTATCTATACCTTGTGGCTAATAGCCACTGATGGACTTCTGCTCCAGATGTTGATCCAATTCCCTCTTGAAGCCGTCCATTCTTGTAGCCACCACCTCCTCCTGTGGAAGTGAATTCCATGTGTTCATCACCCTTTGGGTGGAGAAGGACTTCCTGTTATCTGTTCTAACCCGACCGCTCAGCAATTTCATGGAGTGCCCACAAGGAGTTCTTGTCTTGTGAGAAAGGGAGAAAAGGACTTCCTAATGACTCCCTGACGCTTCATAGAGTCTTGGAAGGGTCCCCAAAGATGCAGAGCTGGAAACCCGGGGAGGGGGAGGCAGCAAGAACAGCTCTCTGCAGGCGTGTCTCTGCCCAGAAGTCAACTCTGGGGAAAGAGGAGGCGATTCCGTCACCCGCAGCCAGGACTGCAGGAAATCTCCATGGGGCGGGCGGGCTTCTGTTCCCAGCAGGACCAGCAGTGGGGCGTTCACAGTGTCTGCCCCCCCTCTTGTCACCCGTGTCGGCACAAGCCCAGGAATCGGGCCCTCCCGGAGAGTATCACCCACAGTCCCCCGTCCGTTGACCAGAGTGTTTGTGCTTCCTTTCCCCTAGGACTGGATCTTCCGCATTTTGTCCTACGAGAGGAATAAGTCGGAAACCATCACTCTGAACAAGTGAGTCGAGCCCGTTCCTCCCTGAGCCGTGGGGGCAGATCACCCGCAAGCCAGGATGTTGTGGGGGGCCGTGGGGGGCAGGGCTAGAGAACCAGCGGGTAACGGTGGGGCGGAGGGGCAACCCTTCCAAAGCGCTTGCCTGGTCTGAGCCTCCTTTTGCTCCCGGCAGGAGCGGCATCATCAAGTTGAACATCTATTTCCAAGAGTACAACTACCGCACCATCTTGGAGGCAGCCACCACAACGGTAAGGGGGCCTATGGCCAGAGGACCGGTCTTGGCCAAAAGCAGTGGGGGTTTTTTTTGGGGGGGGGCCCTGCTTCATCAGTCCTTGGTTCATGTGGCCATATTTTTGAGGGTTTCCAAAACCAGAGAGATCGGGGCAAAAGCCCCCCCCCCCCACAAATCCTGCAAGTTCAGCTGTGCGAGAGGTGGGAGGTGACTTTGGCCTTCCCGGGAACTTGCTTGTCCCGCAGGCCCGAATCTTGCCACTCGGGTGCCCGGGAATTCTTGTCTGTGGGGAGGAGGAGACTCCCAAACATAGTTTTATGCACCTCTATTATCGCATGCCCCCCTAATTTGCCTTAAACCGAAAAGTCCCAGACTCTCCATCCTTTCCTCGAGGAGAAGTCTCAAGTGGAGTGCTACAGGGCTCGGTCCTAGGCCCGGTGTTGTTCAATGTTTTTATAACTGACCTGGAGGAAGACACAGAGGGGATTGCTTATCAGGTTTGCAGATGACACAAAGCTGGGTGGGATTGCGAATTCTGAAGAAGACAGAGTCAGGATTCAAAATGATCTAGATAGGCTGGAACAGTGGGCTGAGACAAATAAAGTGAATTTCAATAGAGAGAAGTGCAAAGTCCTACACTTAGGTACAAAAAAATCAAAGGCACAGATATAGAATGGGAGGCTCTTGGCTTGACAGCAGCACATGGGAAATGGATCTGGGTGTTCTGGTTGATCACAAGCTAAACATGAGCCTGCAGTGTGATGTGACTGCGAAGAAAGCTATTGCAATCTTAGGATGCATGAACAGGAGCCTTGTGTCCAGATCACGGGAGGTGGTGGTTCCGCTCTATTCTGCTGTGGTCAGGCCTCACCTGGAGTCCTGTGTCCAGTTTTGGGCACCACATTTTAGGAAGGATGTTGAAAAGCTCAAG